ACATATCCTCTCTCTTCCACTCCGCGGAAAAACACGATTTGATCCGAAAACACTTCTTTCACTGCAAATTCATCACAAAGTCTCTGTGCAACGCAAAAGATTCCTTGCTGATAGCCTTCGTCAAGAAATCTGCATGCTGAAACTCCGACGTCACATGCGTAATCGAAATCTCCTTCCTCTCTACCAGTTCCCTGATAAAGTGATGCCGTACATCGATGTGCTTCGAGTTTGAGTTCGTGATCGGGTTGTGCGCAATCTGAATCTATGGTCTATGACGTATATATATATACGTCATAGACCATAGATCTGAATCGCTCCCTGATTATCCTCGAAGACCGGAATGCACGGCATACCTGCATCTGGCAACATAAAACGCCAAACCTGCCTCAAGAAAAGCACTTCCTTCAAGACGTCGGCAATTGCCACATACTCTGCTTCCGTTGTGGAGAGCGTGACGCACTTCTGCGTCCTCGAAAACCAAGTCACACACCCACCCCCACACATCACTAGTCCTCCTGAGACCGACCTACGGTCTGCTGCCTTGCTTGCATAGTCGGCATCCACAAACACCTGCATGCTCATGCCAGTGACCACTCCCCTCTCAAATGNAGCCGCAAGATACGAGTTTAGCAGGCCATGGGAGCTAGCGTGATCGATTATTCGGGTGGCTCAGTTGTGTGTGATAGGAGTGTAGAGCAGCTCGGCCATTACGGGCCGTAGGGGTAGGAAACGTCGTGCAGACGTGTGGAAAAACGTGTTGTATCCGTGTTGCCGTGTTGTATTAATCGGGGGCGTGCTCGTGCTCGTCAAACCATCACGGTATCGAGTCACGCCTTCATGCTTTCTCACACAACGAATCTCTCTGAATCCTCACCAAAAGCCTCTCACAACCAAGGAAAATATGTAGAAAGTTCCTGTTCCTCCGCATCTCATCACTGCAATATTCGTACGTACGTACATAACATCTCAACCATCATACTATGCTACGAGTATATCGAATAGGCCACGCCGAAGTCGAACAGATAGGCGAAGAAGTCGCTGTACTCCTGATTGTCGAGCTCCGAGACAAGGATGTCCATCACGCTCGAGTTGAACCTCATGGAGTTGTCATCGTCCAGGTCTCTCTGCGGTTCCGAGTCGAAGACCTTGTTCCTGTCCACGAAAATCTCTCAATTTTTTTTTCTAAATCCTGGGTTCCCACGTTAAATTGACCCGAAAATTTTGGACTGAGATAGATTGACACGAAAA